ACGAATCGAGACTGGGATTTTTCACTCTGTGTAAACGGAGAAGTATCTCTGGGCCCACTCGGTAGGACATCATCATAATGTGCACAATGTGATCAAGGAGTTGATCACGGGATGATGTGCTACGGAACGAGTAAAGAGACTTGCCGGTAACGAGATTGAACAAGGTATCGGGATACCGATGATCGAATCTCGGGCAAGTATCGTACCGCTAGACAAAGGGAATTGTATACGGGATTGATAAAGTCCTTGACATCGTGGTTCATCCGATGAGATCATCGTGGAGCATGTGGGAGCCAACATGGGTATCCAGATCCCGCTATTGGTTATTGGCCGGAGAGTTGTCTCGGTCATGTCTGCATGTTTCCCGAACCCGTAGGGTCTACACACTTAAGGTTCGATGACGCTAGGGTTATAGGGAACGTATGTACGCGGTTACCGAATGTTGTTCGGAGTCCCGGATGAGATCCCGGACGTCACGAGGAGTTCCGGAATGGTCCGGAGGTAAAGATTAATATATAGGAAGTATGGTTTTGGCCACCGGAAGTGTTCCGGGCATCACCGGTATTGTACCGGAACCACCGGAGGGGTCCGGGGGTCCACCAGGTGGGGCCACCAGCCCCGGAGGCTTACATGGGCCAATAGTGGGAAGGGACCAGCCCCTAGGTGGGCTAGGGCGCCTCCCACCAAGGCCCAAGGCGCCTCCAAAAGGGGAAGGGGGCAAACCCTAGGGCAGATGGGCCCTAAGGCCCACCCCAGGTGCGCCTCCCCTCTCCCCCTTGTGGCTGCCACCCAGATGGGATCTGGGGGCTGCCGCCACCCCTAGGGAGGGAACCCTAGGTGGGCGCGCAGCCCCTCCCCTCCCCCTATATATACTTGAGGTTTGGGGCTGCCCAAGACACGCGATTCAATCTCCATGTTGGCGCAGCCCTACCTCTATTCCTCCTCGTCTCTCGTAGTGCTTGGCGAAGCCCTGCTAGAGTTCCGCGCTCCTCCACCACCACCACGCCGTCGTGCTGATGCTGGATGGAGTCTTCCCCAACCTCTCCTTCTCCCCTTGCTGGATCAAGGCGTAGGAGACGTCACCGGGCTGTACGTGTGTTGAACACGGAGGTGCCGTCCGTTCGGCACTAGGATCATCGGTGATTTGGATCACGACGAGTACGACTCCATCAACCCCGTTCACTTGAACGCTTCCGCTTAGCGATCTACAAGGGTATGTAGATGCACTCTCCTTCCCCTCGTTGCTAGATTACTCCATAGAGTGATCTTGGTGATGCGTAGAAAATTTTGAATTTCTGCTACGTTCCCCAACACATATTTGTGTTAGCCACCAAGTCTGAACTATCCGCTTTACGCTTACCATTATTCCCATGGCATCCTTGTTTGTGGTGCTGCCCTTTTGCCCTGTCGTTCTTCTTTCCCTTCTCTGGTTTGTCCTCCTCTAAATCCGGATCCTTAGTATTATCTGAATCGGCATATTTAACCAAAGCAGCCATGAGTGTTGACATGTCATTGCAGTGACGTTTGAGCCTTCCCAACTTCTGTTTCAACGGCTTGAAACGGCAATTGCCCTCTGACGTTAACATTGCGGTGTCTGCATTGATACAATCCGATGAATGCAAAATCGCCGAGACCCGTTTGACCCAATGGGTCGTGGACTCTCCTTCCTCTTGGACACAAGCGGCCAGATCTTCAATTGACATTGGCTACTTACACGTATCCTTAAAGTTCTGGATAAACCGGTGCTTCAGTTCGGCCCATGATCCAATAGAGTTGGTCGGCAAGCTCTTCAACCAAGTGCGAGCTGTTCCTTCAAACATCATGGTGAAATATTTAGCACACACCGCCTCATCCACATCTAACATCTCCATTGCCATCTCATAGCTCTTCACCCACGCCTCTAGCTGCAAATCGGCGGTGTAATTTGGTACCTTACGAGGTCCCTTGAAATCCTTGGGCAGTCGCACATTACGCAATGCGGGAGTTAAACATGGTACCCCTAGGGAACTGAACATCACCCCTGGCTCCACGGAGGCAGTAGGGTGAACCAGAGTATGTTGTCGTGCTTCGTGTCGAGCTGTCAACTCGGCCACTTGACGTGCGCGGCCGTGGTCCACAACATCTTGCGCATTAGCACCTCCCCCGGCCGGGTTGTTCCCCCGTGGCGAATTTCGGCGGTGCACTACTGGACACGGCCGGTTCGTCTTCCACGTGCCTGCTATAACTCTGGCTTGGACAGGGATTGGAATGAATCCTCTCACGGCTGTGTGAATATGCTTGTTGTTGATATAGTGCTGTCTGAAGGAGATCCCTGGCCCGACGCGCTTCCACTGCAACTGGTGACTCGCCGTCGGTTGGGAGGGCCGCCAGACGTGAAGCGGCGGCCACAATGTTGTCCAACGGGTTGGAATAATGCCCGGGCGGCGTTGATGGTACAACGTTGTTCTGGCGAGGCAGGTCCGTCGCGCGCGGCTAAACCGGCGCTCCTGCTCCCGGTGCCCCCGCCCGGTTTAGCGTGGGTTGGTTACCAGCTCCTACACCTGGCGTGTTGAAAAGATTCTGCGGCTCATAAACCGACGGGAGACGTGATTGGTACCTTCTTCTCATGACCTCCTCCGAAGCATTCTGATCCAGTCTAATCCGATAAGCCTGTGCTTCCAACTCGGCCCGCTCCATAGCCATCCTGGCGTTCTCTCTAGGCAGGTCCGCTTTAGCCTGGGCTATCTAATCTTTCACTTTTAGAATCTCTACATCGTGTTGATCCCTGGCTGCTGCGTCTACCTCCGCGGACATTAGTGCCGCCAGAGCATCGAACAAATCAGATAAGACTTGGGCCGGAGGCGGCGCCGAGCTTCCTGCCCCTGCTGGTGTGGCCATTGTTGAACCGGAGAGCACTGCTGCGGCGGTAGATGAATGAGGCGCCGATCGTGTGCCGGCCATGAAGATGGCGGCCCGGTTTGGCAGACCGGGGGAATCCGGAATACTGTTGCCCTCGGATCCTCCCTCAATCCGGCCGTCCTGCAATTGGTAAAGCGATTCGGTTTCTCTAGAAGACTCGTCATTAGAGCAGACTATGGTTTCTCCATCAGAGACCGGTCCGTCCTCGTACCCCGATCCATGGACGACACCTACGAAAACATGCCTTGCCTCAGGCTGAACCGGCGAAGAACTTGCACGCCGAGCCGTTTCGATGATGTCGGTGGAGATGTCCGGCTCGGGGGCCGGTTCGCCGATCTTGCCGATGAAGACGTGAATCCCACCAAAGGGGACCAGGTAACCGTATTCGATTGAATCGGCCTCGGGACCCCATCCTGCGTTGTCGATGTAGAGCTTTCCACGGCGACTCTTTGTCATCCAGCCCACGGCGCATTCCTTGAGTCCATCGAAGCTGTCCTTCAAGAACTCAAAACCAGCGTGCGATAGCCCCACGGTGGGTGCCAACTGTCGTGGGTTTGTCACGGCAGATGTCCTCGTGAAAGGACTTAGTCATGGAGCCATCACTACGGGTTAGCTTGAAGGGGTTAAACCGGACAAAGGGACACGGAAGTTTATACTAGTTAGGCCCCTTAGATGAAGGTAAAAGCCTACGTCTAGTTGTGATTGGTATTGCTATGGGTTCGGAGGCCAGGGAGCAAATCCGCTTTGTCTGGCTCTCGAGTTGTTCTCTCTCCTTGAACCGCTGCTGGGTCACCCCTTTATATACTCAGGAGGACTCCGGCCGGTCTATAGAGTCCCGAGGCTGGCTCATACAAGTGTCCGCCTCGGTCTCCTCTTTCCTATCTTATAATACAAGTTTATACAATCATGGCGGTTTACTATCATGGGCCCTAAATTGCCTGCGGGCTCTGGGCCTCTAAGCCTTATCCGTAAAGCGCCATCTTCTGGGTTTCTTTGGGCTTCAGTATAGGTGAAGGTGAATCGGCCCCTCCTGGACGGTTTACCCTTAGTGGTTATATCCTCAACAGCGGCCGCGCCGTCAAGAAGGAGAAGGTCGCCGCCGCCGACGAGAACGGCGGCAACGTCGGCGACTTCGCGGCGCTCAGCGACTTCTTCGCCCCGTAGATGTATTTTTTTAATAATTTATGTAAACGCCGAACATGTTTAATATGAATGTCAAGTTAGCCGAATTTATGCCGAAGCTGACCGAACTTTGCCGAATTCATATGTTTTAAAATATAAAAAAATGCACGTCTGGGACGATCGGCTGGGAACCTGCTCGCCCCCACGCGCCAATCTACCGCCGGCTCGCTCTCAGGGGCTCTTTTTCGATGCCCCTGGGGCCGAACAGCCGGAGATGCTCTTATTGCATTCAACCGGCTCTGCTGTTTCAGCTTCCTCTCCGTCCAATCCATCACTAGATGCAAACTAAATTTTTACCAACAAGATCTACTAAGTATTACTATATGTCATGTTAAAGTGGTATCCAAACTGCTCGCATGAGCAACTTGTAAGGGTCCAGTGTGCAGTTCAAGACTAACAACTAAGCTGACTATAATTAGAAGAGACAGCTCGGTAAACGATGATTACTCTGTACTTTACTCGGTAGTTAACCATGACTTGGAGAAAAGGTGATTCTTGACCTCATGATCCAGCACACGTACAAAGAAACTGAATCACACGGATGGTGTGAACAGCCACAGGCTGGCATCATTTGACCAGCCCGGGATATGTTATACTGTATAATATTTGCAGCGAGCACTGACGTCCGTCTGACATGCATACATCGCTCTCGCCGTCGCCATGAACGTAGCTGAGAGTCGAGGGTCAAACGACATTGTATCTAGTGACACAGCCGCTACGTTTGTGTGCACACGCGGCCCATGAAGACGAAGACGGTGCCAAATGCCATCCCCACCGGCGTCCGCGTGGCTCCGATCCGCCGCTCCGGCCCCTATATAAAGACCTCCGTGCGGCTCCATCTCGTCCCACTCCCGTCCATCCATCCATAGCTGAAACTGAAAGTCCCACACATCATCACCGCACCGCCCTTGTTAGCAGCCATGACCGCTCTCGACTTCATGCCCGCCGAGAAGCCCCCCCAAGCCGGCAGCGTCGCTCTTGGCACCACCACCCACAATGCCGCCGCCGCTGCCGCCATGCGGGTGTGCGAGTTCGTCCAGCAGAGGAGGCTGGAGGGGAAGGTGGCCATCGTCACCGGCGGGGCGCGCGGGATCGGGGAGGCGATCGTGCGCGCGTTCGTCCGGCACGGCGCGCGCGTGGTGATCGCCGACATCGACGACGCGGCGGGCGAGGCTCTGGCCGCCGCGCTGGGCGGCGCCCTCTGCAGCTACGTGCACTGCGACGTGTCGGTGGAGGCCGACGTGGAGCGCGCGGTCGGTTGCTGCGTGGCGCGGTACGGGCGGCTGGACGTCCTCTGCAACAACGCCGGCGTGCTGGGCCGGCAGGCGCCGCCCTCGGGAGCGGGCGCGGGCGCCAAGAGCGGCGGCATCGCGACCCTGGACGCCGCCGAGTTCGACCGGGTGCTGCGCGTGAACACGCTCGGCGCGGCCCTCGGCATGAAGCACGCGGCGCGGGCCATGCTGCAGCGCCGCGGCGCAGGCGGGAGCATCGTGTCGGTGGCGAGCGTGGCCGGCGTGCTGGGCGGGATGGGCCCGCATGCGTACACGGCGTCGAAGCACGCGCTGGTGGGGCTGACCAAGAACGCGGCCTGCGAGCTCGGGGAGCACGGCATCCGCGTGAACTGCGTGTCCCCCTTCGGCGTGGCCACGCCAATGCTGGTGAATGCGTGGCGCCACAGCCACCATGATGAAGATGAAGACGGGAGCGCGGCGGCGCCGGTGAGCGCGGAGGAGGTGGAGAAGGCGGAGGAGATGGTGCGCGGCATGGCGACGCTCAAGGGCACGACGTTGAGGGCAGGGGACATCGCGGAGGCGGCGCTGTTCCTGGCCAGCGACGAGTCGAGGTACATCTCCGGGCACAACCTCGTCGTCGACGGCGGCGTCACCACCTCCAGGAACGTCATCGGGCTGTGATGGATGGTGAAGTCAAACCGATTGAGATGCAGTTGGAGGGGAGTACGTGCTCCAGTGTCGCAATCAAGTACAGCTCCAGTGAGTGGGCCAAGCCGCATGCACGAACTGTACTTAAATTAATTATAAGTTGGCAATAGTGGTAAGACTAGTCATAATGGAGAGTAACATACACTAGTAACATACACATATCCCTAAACTATGTTACTAACCTTATCGTGGGTAGTAATTAAGTGTGATAACATGCAAGGATTCATTTATTAGGTTATAGACTCATATTACATTGGGACATGCGATGTTACAGTAACTAGCTAAGTTACTACAACTCCCTCTCTCCTCATTACCTCATTGCCACATAAGCAAATTTGCTGAGTTGTACTCGATGTTACTGCTGAAGTTACTCCCACTGTGGCTAGTCTAAGTAGGAGTAATTAGCTGGTATTTGTTCGATCTGTTTGACCTGAAGAGTGGTTATGTCATCAACTATGGATTTGCCTGGTTTTTCTTCTTTGTTACCTAAGGCCTCTTTTGGTTCATAGATAGGATTATCGTAGGAATAGGAATTGTGTAGGAAATGAGATGACATGTATCTCGAATCCTATGAGTAGGAATAGGAAACGAGATGTCATTTGGTTGACACCAAAAGAATTTTTTCATTGAGTCTAGGCTAATTTTTATTTTCCTATGAAATGTGAAGGATAGGAACCAATCCTATGTAGGAATAGGAATCCATTCCTTTGAACCAAAGCTATGTAATTCCTATGAACCAAAAGGCTCTAAAGGAAAAAATCCTATAAGAATCCTATCCTCTAAAATTCCTATGAAATTCCTCCAAGGAGGCCTAAATTGCTGTCGTGCCCAGATCGAGAAGAATTGTTTAGTTCAGCAGTACAAAGTGACGCAGGAGTAGTATATTCCTGTTCGGGACTGACGGTGTTGGAGGCAGCCACTGAGTTCAGCCGGGGAAACATCTGGCACATAATGTTTCATCGTGTGTTTGCGATTAAGTAGAAATAAAAATCAAAATATAGCGAAAATCATGTGAAGCAAAGAATTCCTGAAGCTTGACATCGCCAAGGCTTTTGATTCGGTAAGCTGGGCATACCTGATGGAGGTCCTGGAGGCGATGGGGTTTGGGTAGAGATGGCGCGACATGATTTCACTGATTTTGTCCTCCACATCATCAATGGTGCTTTTAAACGGGATACCTGACTCACCTTTTGTTCACTTGCGAGGGCTTCGGCAGGGAGACCCTTTGTCCCCGCTGCTTTTCATCATTGCCATGGAACCATTGCAGCGGCTCCTATCGATGGCTGCAGAGCGAAACATTCTATCACCATTGTGATCTCGGATTGACCGCTTCCGATCCAGCTTCAATGCTGATGACGCGGCCCTTTTCATCAACCCCACCATGGATGATTTTCTTGCTGTTCAAGCCATTCTCAAGATCTTTGGTAATGCTTTTGGTCTGTTCACTAATATCAGCAAAACGGTGGCTTATCCCATCACTTGTCATGGAATTGAGCTGGATCCCATGCTGGCTATTTTTGGTGGGATACAAGGGACTCTCCCATGTAAATATTTGGGACTGCCTCTAGGTGTCAGGAAGCCCAGGAGAGCCGAGGTGCAGCCGGTGCTGGATAAGATGGCGGGAAAGCTATCGCCTAGGAAAGGCAGATTGCTAAACATGATGGGGAGGCTGGTTTACATCAACTCAGTGGTCACTAACATTGCCATTTATTTCATAACAGCCTAACAACCGGATAAATGATTCATTAGAAAGGTGGACAAACTCAGAAGAAATTTCCTATGAGAAATTGAAGAAAGAGCGGCTGGATGCAAGTGTCTTGTTAACTGGAAGCGGGCCTGCTCCCCCAAGATTGTTGGTGGGTTAGGTATCAAGAACATCGAGTGTTTCAGCCGGGCCTTGCGCTTGAGATGGGAATGGTTCAAATGGGATGACGTCGATCGACCATGGAAAGGATCTCCTACCCCGTGCGACGCTATTGATAGACAATTGTTCTCGAGTTGTTCCTCTATTCAGTTGGGTGATGGTCGGCTTGCGCTGTTCTGGATGGACAGATGGATGCATGGGGAGGCCCCTTATTTGATTGCACTGGAGATTTTCAAGCTGGCGCGTTTCAAGAAAATTACTGTCAAAAAGGCTTTGACAAACGGCCGGTAGATGGAAGGTCTGCAAAGAATGAACAGCGAAGAGCAGCTAGCACAATTTGTCAGAATTTGGGAGGAGCTTCAGCTGGTGAGCCTTTCGGAAGCAAAGGATGTGATCAGATGGTCACTCACGACAAACGGCTCCTACTCGGCGTGCTCTGCGTATGGCATCCAGTTTGCGGCCAGGATCGAGCAGCCAGATCTTGAGAGAATATGGAGATGCAAGATGGAGGGGAAGGTCAAATTTTACCTTTGGTTACTCCTGCAGAATAGGAACTGGACGGCGGATAGACTGCTAGCGCGGAATTGGCCGCATAATGATCGGTGCAAGTTGTGTGAGCCTGAATCTGGAATGCATTTGACGCTGGGGTGTTCTTTTGCAAAGGAGATATGGTTCCACTTCCAGAGATCTAACATTAGGATGTGGCGTATTGCGTCTTCGGCTAGCTCGATTACTGATTGGTGGAGAAGGCTATGCTCCGGACGCGGTCCGAAGAACAAGGTGCAGGAGGATATCACGTTGGCGGCCGCACCTGTGGAAGGAGCGCAATAGGAATTGACTGGGTTCATGCTGACTGATTTAATCAGCGATGATGTAAAATTATACTATGAGGCGACTGGGCAGGGTCAGGTTATTACGTAAAGCAAGTCCGGATCCTATCTGGGGCCTGTCCCAGAAGGATGTTGTATTGTCTGATTTTTTCCTCTCTTCTGCTATAATGCAAAAGCAGATCTCCTACTATTCCCGTCAAAAATATCAACCTAAGATCGAATCGATTTGATCTCGGCCAGGCCAAGCCGAGCCGCCCCTGTGTGTACTTAATTAGCTTAATTAGCTTGGTAACCAGTGGCTGTTTGTTTACTGAATCTGCATGAGCAACGCGTTGGACATTGGCCTGTCACCTGACTTCTTTCCTCCGAATGAACAAAATCTGAAAACGAGGAGGAAATCAAGCCTCGACGGCAGAGCAAAGCAGTGACTTTGCAGAAGTTTAGAAATTAATTAGTAGAATGGAGGGATGGCAGGAGACTTTGCAGTGGCAAGTGGCAATACAAGTAGACTAGTAGTATAGTACTGTAGATGTCAAATCTGACGAAAGATGAACGACGGACTGACTAAGATTAAGACTTTGCCGGTGGACTATGTATGTATTCCCTCCGTTCGGAAATATTTGTCATCAAAATGAATAAAAAGGGATGTATCTAGATATATTTTAGTTCTAGATACATCTTTTTTTAATCCATTTTTGACAAGTATTTTCGGACAAAGGGAGTAACATATAATCAGCAAGTTGTGGTGACAAACAGAACGACAGGGTTGCTTGCTATTCGTTTCTTTTCCTCCTGCTCATGCTTTCCATATGATATTTGGGAGATATTTGGTGCAGGAAACATATACGTATGTAAAGAGGCCAACACAAGTCACAGAGACTTGTAACTGGGGAGAAGGATCGCCATGCCGCGCCGATCGAGTCCAGGCAGCGCCCAAGGGTACGGGAGCGCAACACTCGGCTGTACCGCGTTTGGTTTTCACTGTGTGCAAGTGGTAGCCAAGTAGGCAACACAACAGTAGGTGACGAGTAGCCGCGCGACACAGCATTGCTCCGCCGTGTTACCTGCTCGGTGCTCGGTCGGCTGGTTCCCATGCCGTTTGGGCCGCACGGCGGCTGTCGCCCGGATGGTGATGGGCCGTCATGTCCAGCAAGGACGGCTGCGACTCGTACGCCTCGCTCCGCCATGTCGCTGTCTACCTACCTTACACACCATAGCATGCAATAGAAGATGAGTTTTACCCCTCTTTTGTTAGGGTTTGCTTCTCCCGCTCATGTCTAGATGATGTTGTGTTTGAGGATGTGGTAAAGGATGCCAGACTCGTTCTTCAAGAATATGCTATCTGCATGGGATCTTTGCCAGGACGTCAGATTTCGTTTGCTTGAAATAATCTATACTTGATCCGAGTTCAAAACTACGACATTTATTATGGATCAGAAGGAGTAGAATTATCGAGAGTTGGCGGCGTTCGCGAGAGTTCGTTTCATCCCGAACGAGTTTGTGGGCTGACGTGGCGACTTTGTATGCTTCAAAAATCGTGTGACGCAATGGACGGTGACAAGGGCGGTCGGGCCTGGACGTCCAGAACCGAACGTTCGGCAGTTATCGTTACCGAAACTAATCCTGCCTAGACGACTAGCTACACCGTGCACGCAGCTGTATCACTAGTAGTGAGTGAATAGCAAAAAACTACCACATTACGGGCTATCGTTCCCAAAAACTACCGTTTTTTTAATTTTTCCAAAAACTACCACAAAAGTGGCTGGCTGTTCCAAAAAACCCAAGTGGCCGAACGGTTAAGTTTTAACTGGGGTTATGACATGTGGGGCCCGCCCGTCAGGGTTTTGTCGGCCACAGTGCTCATGGCGCGCGGGTGACGGCCGTTAGGGCGCACGGGCCGTCCCGACCAGGTCAAACGGATCCGGCTCGCCCTCACTCTATCTTCCCCCTCTCTGTCTCCCTCTCTCTCGTGCGCGCCTCCCTCTCCGATGGCGGCGGCGGCGAAACTAGGCGATGGCGGCCATTCAACGGGTGGAGGTGGAAGGGGGGATGGAGGCGACGAGTTCTCAGAGGTTGATAACTAGCTGGGGAGTGGTAGCTTCGCAACCCAGGCGGCGGCGCCGCCGCCGCAGCGGACACCACAGGCTGCAGCTCTGATGCAGGCTCCTACGCCACAGGCTACACCGTCGTCGCCTGATGATTGCCAGTTCTCGCTTGAGTACAGAGCAGCGAGGTCTCTTGCTAGCGCTGTGCAGGCAGATCCGGCCAACTCCCAGCAC